CTCTAATTTAGGGTAAAACTGTGTGCTGATGGTCCCATCAGGGTGGGTTAATGCAAAATGTGTCCTTACGTTGCCAAGCAGCTGAATAAGTTGACCTGTTGGGTGGAGTCCTTTAGTGCTGTCCACTTAAACTATGGGGAATGTTAGCCAAGGACAGCAATTTTACATTTAGCACAATTATAACCCTTTTTTCCCTTTTGCAATGATTATCCAACAAGGTCAGCAGTATCCTAATTTATTATTATTTCTAATAATAAAATCACATTATAGAACAGCAGTTCTCAACCTTGACTATACATTTGAACCCCCAGAAAGTTTTAAAATATACTGATTCCTGAGTTCCCCAAGAGATGCGGACTTAATTGGTCTGGGGTGAGGCCTAGGTTTCAATGTGTTTAGGGGTCCTCAGGTTATACTAACATGCAGTCAGATTTGACAGCCAGTGTCATAGAAGGAGGGCCTTATCTTCTGATTTACCAGTATTCGTGTATCCAGTGACTCTAATTAGATATGTTAAAAGTAAGAGTGACCCACTCACTAGTTCTTTGCCCTTGAAAGAATCACTTAATTTCCATAAACTTCAGTTTCTCCTTCTCTAAATTAGGGGTAACTATTATATTAGGGGTTAGCTGTGGAGGTTTAAATAAAATACATACAGTTACTAGGACAGAGCTTAGCACCTAGCAGGTATTCAAAATAGGAGTTGCTGCAGAGAACTGTGGTCATGTCTCTGCTTTGCACACTTAGAAATGGAACTCCATCTCCTGTGAGTCTGGAGGTGGTGTTACAGCACAGACTCGGACAGGGTGGTCTCCACCGAGGCTGTGTGCTCTTGGGCCCACACGTGGTGCCTGAAGTAAGATCAGGGAATGCTCTGAAGAAGCCCCTCGTTGTTCATCACTAGCGTCAGACAAACAGGATGGAGCAGTGCCCACTTATTCCTCAGGGAAAGAGCAACCCAGCCCAGAAATCTATTGAGAAGAAAGCTGTGATAAAGTATCAAAGGACCTCCAAGGAGAAAGTAATGGTCTCAAGTTTGAGAATTAGATTGTTTCCCTTTTTTGAAAGGGAAAGATGTTGATGCTATGAGCTCATAAAAGCCCATAAAACAGATTGATGTAAATGTATGGTGAGGAACACCCCTCATGGAAATCTAGGAGCAGCAATCTCTTAGGTTGCTTTTTTCCTATTTAATTTTAGGCCAGTGGTCAAAGATTTTCAAATGAATGCCTCTGCTATTTTTTCTTTTTAAAACCTGTTTACTTGAATGTGTACCTATGATGAATATATGAGTGTATGTGTTTATATGTAAAACAAATATATATACCTATGTGTATATAAATATACATATCATACATTTAAATATAAAGCAAGATTAGCTCAATAGCACTTGAGAACCAAAAGATTTCTGCTAGGATGAGCTGTGGAATCTAAAATGTGACAATAACATCAAAAATTCAAGTGACAAACAACCCAATCCAAAAATGGGCAGAAGACCTAAATAGACATTTCTCCAAAGAAGATATACAGATTGCCAACAAACACATGAAAGTATGCTCAACATCACTAATCATTAGAGAAATGCAAATCAAAACTACAATGAGGTATCACCTCACACCGGTCAGAATGGCCATCATCAAAAAATCTACAAACAATAAATGTTGGAGAGGGTGTGGAGAAAAGGGAACCCACTTGCACTGTTGGTGGGAATGTAAATTGATACAGCCACTATGGAGAACAGTATGGAGGTTCCTTAAAAAACTACAAATAGAACTACCATACAACCCAGCAATCCCACTACTGGGCATATACCCTGAGCAAACCATAATTCAAAAAGAGTCATGTACCAAAATGTTCATTGCAGCTCTATTTACAATAGCCCAGAGATGGAAACAACCTAAGTGTCCATCATCAGATGAATGGATAAAGATGTGGCACATATATACAATGGAATATTACTCAGCCATAAAAAGAAACGAAATTATTTGTAGTGAGATGGATGGACCTAGAGTCTGTCATACAGAGGGGAGTAAGTCAGAGAAAAACAAATACCATATGCTAACACATATATATGGAATCTAAAAAAAAAAAAGGTTCTGGAGAACCTAGGGGCAGGACAGGAATAAAGATGCAGATGTAGAGAATGGACGTGAGGACACGGGGAGGGGGAAGGGGAAGCTGGGATAAAATGAGAGAGTGGCATGGACATATATATACTACCAAATGTAAAATAGATAGCTAGTGGGAAGCAGCCACATAGCACAGGGAGATCAGCTCAGTGCTTTGTGACCACCTAGAGGGGTAGGATAGGGAGGGTGGGAGGGAGATGCAAGAGGGAGGAGGTATGGGGATTATGTATAGCTGAATCATTTTGTTATAAAGCAGAAACTAACACACCATAGTAAAGAAATTATACTCCAATAAAGATGTTAAAAAATAATAATAAATAAGTTTTTAAAAAAATAAAGCTAAGGAAGTAAAATATATAGTATATTAAATGGTGGTAAGAGCTATGGAGAAAAATTAAGCAGGAACGAAAGATGGGGAAAACAGAACAAAACAAAATTCAAGTGAAATCACTTTCTTGGTTCTCAGTCAGAATGCTGGCTCTGTACTGCTTTTGCAGAAGCTGCACCAGGAAGACCCATGCTCCAAATTTTTCGTTTTTTAAAAAATTTGGCCATTCTGGCTGAGCTGAAAATCTCCCATTGAAATAGATTCTAAAATATAGTGTTTTTTCCTAAATATTTAAGCTACTCATAGAATAATTTGAATATAATTTATGTGTGACCTTAACTGAAATCTGACCTAATTCTAACCTCTCTTCCATTCTGTTGCCTGAGTGGCTTTTAAAAAATAGACCTGGTTATGTTACTGTACTACTCAAAAAGTCTTCAACAATTTGAAATCAATGTCCTTAACTCGGCATTCAGTACTCCCACAAATCTGGCCCCAGACTACTCTCTGGTTCTAACCTTGCCTAAAGGTCCCGTGGTGCCCATCTTCATATCTTTGTTCACCCTGTCTCTTCTGAGAATGCCCTGTCCACTTCATGCCTGCCTTTCAAAACCTAACTCATTTTTACACCCCAGTCAAATGCTACCTCCTTCATGGGGCATCCCCAATCCCCACCTTAACCCCTCTCTCATCCTAGTTTTACTTATTCCCTGTTATTTTACTTCTTCCCCACTCTGTGCTTCCAAGAACTTCATATCATTGCCACAGTATGAATTACACCTTTCCTTGTGTTAGCAAATATTTGGGAAGTAATAGTGAATAGTGCCTAAGGAAAAGGAGTACAGACTTTTGAGCCAGACTAGACCTGAGTCAAAACCCTGACTCTTAGGCAAGTCATTTAACTTTTCTGACTTTCAGTTTCCTCATCTGTGAACTGAAGAAAATATTACCAAATCTGCATGGACTGGTAGGGGAGAGCATATGAGAATATGCAGTAAAGGTCTTTAATAAGGGGTAGCTATTATTACCACAGTTATTCATATCCTGTCCCCAACTAGTTCATCAGCAGTACCTAGCAACATCTTACTCTCCATAGTGTTTTCTGAATTGACTGGAAGCAACCCAAATTGATGGCATCTGCTGCCTGGATCTCACTGAGCTATTAGTTTTCCAACATCTGTTTCGAATTTCAGAAAGAAATGTCCATTTTTAGGCAACAGCAGTGTTTTCCTGTGGCATTTCAATATGTCTCAATCCTGAAATGATTATAACTTGTGCTTGATTGAATCCAAGTCAGCAAAGTCATGGAGAACAGCCCAGCCCACAAGCACGTCCACTTTACGTAGGCCTAAGAAAGCATAGCCCTCTGTACAAAGAGCCCAAACACCAAGGAACACTATGTCAGCTTTTAATGACATTGCCCTTTGTTCAGATGTTTAAATTATGACAATAATAGAGCTTGAGAAGCTCTTATTTATCCACAATGCTGTGAGACAGAGAGAGTGTAGACATCCTGGTTTTCTTTGATGTCTAGAGTACTGGTAACTACTCAAGATGTTATAATGACAATTATTGACTCCCTTCTCTTGACTCTGAATTCCCTTATAAACTAAAAAAAAAAAAAGAAAAGAAAAGAAACTCCACAATTTTCTCCAGTAGTTTCTAAATTATTTCCTATGGAAAGCAGAATTTTCTAAACTACCATGCTTTATGAATCCTGTCTCTGTTTCAGCACCAAGGACAGAACCCCGCCAGGCTTGATGCCCACCCATCCCATTTAATTAACAAAATTTTAAATGTTTTAAAATTTCTGCTCAGATGTTTATTCGATCATCTAATATATTGGTTTTCTGAACACTGGTTATATGTCAGGCCTTGATATGGTATACAAAGGCTTACAGCTCTCAAGGTTGAACTGAGGCAGGAGAGCAAGAAAGGCAAGTTAATAAATATAACACCATATGACAGGTGCTGTTACGGAGTTATGTACAAGCCATGTGGGAGCCAGGGGAGGGAGTGATTAACTCTGACTAGTAAAGGAAGGCTTTTCAAAGGAGTTGACATTTGAGCTGGGTACTGAGAATTGAGTGAAGTTTGTAATGCAGAAAAGAGACTCCATGAAAAAGTACAGAGCATACTAAGAAATTTCTAGAAATGTGGTTTGATGTGGCTGAGAAATTGAGTGAGTGAAAGATTAAGGGAAGAGATAAGGAATAGGCTAGGTCAGATCACCAAGTACTTGTATACCAAGCTAAGGGTTTAGGCTTTATCCTGGGAAAGTTAAGAGCTGTGTAAGGGTTTTGAGCAGAGGCATGATCTAATCAGATTTGTGGTTTAGAAAGATACTTCATACAGAAAGAGAGAAAATATACTAAAAAATAAATAAATGAGAGGGCAGAAGGGCAGATGACGGCGACATTCCTCCATGTGGTTCTGGAATGAGGGCTCACTCCATCATAATCAGGATTAGACACGGAGAATTTACTTGGCCCAGCTCCCATTCACTGTTCACCATGTTTCACATATGGATTATGTCTCTCCAGATTCTTCCAAGAAGATAAATGATGTCTTGGCTGAATTTAATGAGGGTGGGAGCCTCAAACAATATGACCCACATGAGGTAAGAACATTTTCATTTCAAGCCTTTAAAAACCCCACGTTCTAGCCTTCCCATAATTTGTTCCTCTCTTAGAAGTTTAGCTCACTTTGAAGAACATGATTCTCAACATATTTTCTCCCAAGTTTCAAGTGAGCCATTGGTGCTACCTGGAATCATAAGTTCCTCAAGTCCATTCACCTTCTCACTATCCTAGAAGGCCACATCATACCTTCTCTTCTCTCCTCAAATCTCTCACTCCTCCTCCCTTTCTCAATTCCCAGTTATCAACTGTGTTTTCTACATCACTGAGAAAATAGAAACAGTCAGAAGCAATCTTCCCCAAAGTCCTCACCTTATGTGCCCACCTAGCTGTACCTTTTCTCCTGTAATTAGGGACAAGCTTTGCATGCTCTGATCTCAGTCTGACCCCTCCACTTGTGCCCTCAGTCCCGTCCTTTTGGTCTGTTGACAGGCATTGCTTCAACAACGTATTCCTCTCTCACTCTCACTCCATCTCCTTCCCATCAGCTCTCTATGTATTAGACCTTCCTCATCAACAAATAAACATACTGCTCTTTCTCCTACATTAAAAAACTTTTTTCCGGCTCCACTTCTCCCTCCAGCGACCACCTCATTTCTCTCCTGTCCTTTATAACAAGTAAGCTGTGCAAAAGATGTGTCTATACTCATTGCCTCCAATTTCTCCTCTTCCCACTTTTCTGAAAGCTCTTCAAGCAGCATGTAACCCCCACGCCTACACTAAAATCACTAGTCAAAATAGCCAAGGACCTGCATGTGGCTAAAACTCAAGTCATTTTACACAACAGCATTGCACCTGATTGGTCAAATCTTCCTCCACTTCCTTCACTTGGTTTTCAGGACGCTATACTCTTCTGATTTTCCTCTTACCCCTTTACTTGACATTTCCACTTAAAAATCAAATAGGTATCTCAAACTTAACATAAGCTAAACTGAGCTCCTTGATCTTCCTCTATAAAACCTGTTTTTCCAGCAGTCTTTCCCATTTCAGTAAACGACAAGTCCAGTCTTCAAGTTATTCAGCCTAAAACTATGGAGTCATCGTTGACTTTTCTCTTTTTCTCACATCCCACATCTAATTCATCAGCCGTCTCCATCATTTCTACCTTCAAAATACATCCAAAATCCAGACACATCTCACTACCTGCTCTGCTATCACCCTGACCTGAGGCACCACCATATTTTGCCCAGATTATTGCAATAGTCTCCTCTTAGGCTCCCTGTTTTTGCTCTTGACCTTGAAAGTCTATTCTTTACACACATCCTGAGCAGTCTGTTAAAACTGAAGTCAGATCATGTCACTGCTGTGTTCCACAATCTTTTATGGTCTGCCCACCTGGTACTCAGAGTCAAAATCAAGGTCATTACAATCTGCATCTCCCCTACTATCGGACCTCATATCTTGCTATTCTTCTTCCCATTTTTTCCCAGCCGTATTAGCCTCCTTGATGCCTTCATACAAGCCAAGGCTGCTCTAACCTTAGCACCTGTGCCCATGCTCTGGCCTCTTCCTGCAATGTTCCTCCCCCAGATATCCATATCATTCATTCCTTCACCTCCTGCAAGTGTTTGCTCAAATCACCTTCTCAGTGAATGTCACATTCTCTATCTAAAACGTTAAACCCTCTTTCCTGACACTTCCTATCTTCCTGCTCTGCCTTATTTTCCTCCTTAGTGCTTCTCACCATCTGTCACACTGTATAACTTACTTATTTAATTGTCTATCTCCCCGACTAGAATAGTTTTGTTCACTGCTATGTCCCCAGTGCCCAGAAGAGTATCTGGCTTATAGCAGGCACTCAACAAACATTTGCTGAATGAATAAGTGCATGCAAGACCTCCCCTACTTTCAGATTCAGCTCATCTAATGTTTCTTGAGCATCCAGGCACTGTGTTGGATGCCGTAGAAGATATGAAGATGAGGAAGCATAGTTCCTCCCCTCCAGAACGTACTTCCTACTGGCAGGGCCAAGTTTAAGAGCCGTGACCCTGGAGGTTATGCTCTTAGGTTAGACTCCTAGCTTTGCTGCGAACCAGCAATGTGGCCTTGAATATTTCACCTCTCTGGGCCTCAGTTTCCTCTTCTGTGAACTGAATGTATAAAACAACCAAGAAGAAAGACCTTGAAGCTTGCAGATGAGTGAGTTAAATAAGATGCTTTTTGCAAAATGTCTAACACTTTAAGGACACTTAAAAATAGTGCCCATTATTATTACCCTTCTATTACCTTTCGCCAAAATGTTTTAAACTCAACTCCCTCTTCCCCGGTCCTGGGTCCTTTTATGAGGGCTAATAGCAGAAAAGCAACTGATCAGCAGGACAAACTTGGAAGGAGGCTGGCCGCCTATTTATTCATATTGTCATCCTTTCAACAAACCTTGAGTCAACTCCTTCTCTTCTGGGCCCTGGAAGTGAATCAACAGAGCCCACACCCTCGAGGTACACCTGAGAGGTGCTTTGAATAAAAGGCACTGATCACCTGAGAATGAAGCAGGAGGAAGGGTGCCAGAACAGGAGCCAGATTGAGAATGCACCCTTTCAAAGAACATTCCTGAGGAGGAACCATGTGGAAATGATGCCAAAGCCAGCAAAGAACTTGCAGCCCCCCAGTCCCCACCCCCACCTCCAAAAACACAGGAACAAAGACTGGCGGGGGCTGCTCCTCCGCCTGTCCGCCCTGAAGCTGACGAGAGTGGGAGGGGAACAGTTTGGTCAGGGCTGCCGAGGGTATGAAGGCCGTAGGAGCTTTCAGAAGCAGGCCTCTGCCTCCATCAGGCTGGCCCCCGCTCTGCCGTGTCCTAGGGGAGCTCCGTCACTCTGATTTCATTCTCTCTCACAGTGTGGCTGGCTTCAAGTAGGTATAATGTCCCAGCACGGGGTTCAGAAACAACAAGGGTTTAAATTCTCTTGAGTTTGGTGGCTTACTGCTGCTAAAATGTCTCAACAAGAAATGAGTTAGCTGTGGGAAGGGGCAGGTTGCTAGGAAAGGGTGGCTGGGAATAAAAGTTTACAGAGTGGCAGGGCTCCATCTGGCCATGAGAAGCGTGCCCTTGCCCATCGGCACCGAGTGATTCTCTGGAGAACAGAGCACAGCTGAAGATGGCCAGAAAGCAGACGGAAACAGTGCAACCAAAAAGGTAGGGGGGCCTGGTATCACCATGATCTTAGACTCAGGCACACCTTAGCACAAAGCACAGCTCTGCCACTTGCTTTACGACTTGAGCAAGTCATTTATGTTCTCAAAATTTTTTTCATCTACAAAATGGCAGTAATAATACCACGTCACACTGTTGTTTTGAGACTTAAGTAAGATCACGTATGTACAATGCTCAATAAACTCTCCATCTAGTTCTCCTTCCTTCTTTGACCTGTGGAAGAATTAACAATTGCCTAACTAGTTTCCACATGAAAGTTGCAGTTTCTGGGGAAAAAGAAAAGATGTCTGAACAATGGCAGTGTCTAAAATGTTACTCAGGGCTCTGAGAGTTGTCAGCGTGCTACATAGTGGTTGTTTATCTGGTTTGGGCAGAGTATGGGCCACTCCCTACCCATCACACACGTACCAAGCACCTACCCTGAGCCTGGCCTGTGCTCATAAAAAACTTACTCTTTTGCAATCCAGATATCACTTTGGGAGTGGCCCTCAGTCACATTTCCTTGCCTACTGAACTTGGGGTGCTTAGAGGGAATGGCAGGGAACACGATGTCAGCACCAGGGCCTGGGACAGATCAGATACTAGAGCAGGAGCATTGGACTAGGTGTCAGACGATCAGGCTTCTGGTTTCGCTTTGCTGCTAGCTGGCTGGGGCAAATCAGTAAAATTCCAGAGTCTCAGTGATGTAAGGAGATCTAGTCTCCTCTGAGCTCTTCTGACATGAATGCTCTGTGTTTCTGGGCTTATTTTATGCCATTTTGTTCCCCAGGATAGGGCCATAAATGGTTGGACATGTGTTCAATCATCATTGTTTTCTAAGTTCTCATAACAGTTTGTCAGTTCTTCTGCTGTGACACTCACCACTGTTGACCCTGTGTTAGAATTATTTCAATACCTTTCCCACTGAGTCTCTTAAAGGTATGGACTCATGCCTAATTCACTGGTGTGTTCTCCAGTGGTGCCCAGCACTGTGTCTTGTACTTGGGAGACTCAGTACATATATGCTGACTGAACAGACCCCACAATGATTGATGACAGCCAAGTGTACCAACTAGAAACCCAACGTCCATTAAAATATCTATTAGGAAATACCGTGCTAGGTGGTGTGGAGGATACAAAGATGAAATAAGACATTTCCCTACCTTCCAGGAGCTCTAGATCTAGTCGAGGAACTAAGGTGTGTATGTCATGAACAACTATATTTTGCGAGGGCAGCAGATATGGGTGTCCCAAGTCAGGAACCAATGTGGAAATGTATAGCAATTCAGGCACAAGAGATCATACCAGGCTTCCTGGAAGGGGTGGCATCTGAGTTGGGCCATAAAGGATAGCTGGAATTTTAACAGGTAGAGAAGAAAACAGTTCATGTAAGTACATGGAAGCTTGGCCAGGAAAGAACACAGAGATCAGTGTGGGCAGAATGTGAAGGTACACACAGAGAATTGTAGGAGAAAAGACCAGAATGGTCTCCGAACTTGAAGTAGCTACAAATCTAGGTTGGAGTGGGATTGTGGTAGGGCTGTGAATCCCAAAGGATTCAGGGAGTGCACAGGATGATCCACTGGACTGTAGGAATCCTGCATATTAGACTTTCTATTTACATTGATTTTTATCTCATCTAATTTCTAATTTCTTTGTGTGTCTTTTATAATGTATAGTAGTGGAGCAGAGCAGTACATATATATAGTGTATAACTAAAGATAAATGACAATGTGTGCTTGAAAACCTTACAGAAGGGCGCATGGTTTTAAAAGTTTGGAGACAAGTGATGTCAACTCTCCCATGGGCAATTAGAAGCCATGGAAAGTTTTTGAGTTGGGAAGCAGTCTGATCAGAGCTGTGCTTTGGGAAGATCACCTTGGCAAGGATGGAAAAGATGAGAGGACTAACAGATGGAGGTGGAGGCAAGGAAGCCTTTGAGGGGTGTTGCAGTTGTCCAGATAGGACACATGGAACAGGAGTAGAAAACCAGGAGCATGGGGGACTTCAACAGCCGCCTTGTCAGGGTGGGGCCGACGGGCAATGGATACAGAAAAGACCTGGATATGACAGACGTTGCGAAAGAACAGTGGAAAGAAGGAAGGGACAAGAATTGATCTCAGACAACTGGGAGTTCAAGCTGAGCCTGGAATATTTGGAGGATAATGCTACCATTGACATGAATAGAAACTGTAGGGTCAGAAAGAGGACCTGGTTTAAGGAAGAACCCAGTAGAAGTTCAGAGCTTGAGATCTTCTGGTCCAGCATTCACAGTTTGCTAAAGAAAAACCTGAGGTTCAAAAAAGGAGGAAAATGTGGTGGACCTCAGACCAGCCACGAGGTCTCCTGAATCTCACACTGATCTTGTTTGAAGATCTTTCAGCTTTGGTTTTTTAAGAGCATTATGTAAGACTTTGTTTAACTGAATTTCCTTTTTTATTAAATCATTTAGTATACGCTGTTTTCCAGAAATATGCTGGTAGTTTTCAATTTGAGGCCAACCAGAAAAAAAATTAACAACATTTTGGAACTCAAAACTATATTGTAAAACAGTACTTGTCGATTAAAATAGTGCAAAGGAAAGGACGATGCAAAAAGAGCCTTTTAAAATAAATTAATAATAAAGATGAGAAGATCTAAAACAAAGACCATTGAATTTGTGACCTTCAAGAGAGCAGATTCAGAGGTGATGCGCTAGAATCCAAATCGAATGGATTAAGGAGGTGAGGAGAAGTGTGAAGGGGAAGGGAAGAAGCACAGGCTAGTAGCTCGAGCAGCCAGCAGTTTCTTTGGAAGAGTGACCTGAACGTGCTTGCAGGTAGACAAGCAGGTGCTGGGAGATGCCATCAGAGGCAGGGAGGGTGGAATTGCAGGTCATTATGGGTTCCGCTGGGAAAGTGGGAGGAAAAGACTTTGCTGATGTGTACTGGGAAAAAGAGGATGTGTGTGGAAGGGACATTCTGAGGTGTTGAGGCAGTGGAGACAGGGACAGAAAGAGTACAAGAGAGAGCCACAGAGATTCTGGGGCAGGAAAGGCAGAGAAATAGAGATTGATGCCTGTCACAAGAAATGTAAGTCCACCATTTGCTTAGAGATGCCTTCATCTGGTAATGAGCCTTCATTATCCTCTGTCCAACTGAATCAGGCTTCCTTCACTCTGCTAAAGAGATGTTTAAATAGCCCAGCCTGGGGCTAAGGAGAAACTGCCTCGCAAGCTCCCTCCCAGTGGGGTCCAGAGGGCATTGCTTGTTTTAAGGACCAGGACTTTGTATCCAAAACCTGATCGTGCACGTGCCAGCCAACTCTGGTTCTGCGAAGGCTCCCAGATCTCCCAGAAGAGACAAGGGGTTAAATGCTACCAACATTTTCAGAGAGAGCCAAGTAGGCTCCCAAAAAGGGATTTTATCGCTATTATTCACAAAAGCCTGCACAGCAGATCTTGGAGGAGTGCTTCCTCAGATGATTTCCAGGAGCATCTGCTGATTTGATGAAGAATCTGATGCCATCAAAGCACAAGCCAGCGATGACTCACTGCGCACTGCTGTTGCCGAGTGTTTGCTGAGTGCAGCAGCCCTTTCTGGCACAGTTCTCCCAACCTGGGACCAGAAGCCAGGCAGCACTGGGCGACATACAGCAGGGAGAGGTTTTGGCATGTTTCTTGGTTTTACCTTCCGTCCTTGGCTTCCTGCTCTTCTCTCCTGGTGCCTGAAACCTTCACAAGGACATGTTTTGAGAGCAGTCGAGCCAGACACACTCCCTCCCCTGGTATCTTGAGGGTTGTCCAAAGAAGGTCAGTTATGAAAGTAATGAAAGATGGAGCCTGTTCTTTTTTATTTTCTGAGACCTGAATCCTCAGGAATCACATCCCTCACGGCATAAGCAGAAAATTGACATACCACAGAAGAGCGATTTCTTCTCCTTGTGTTTTCAACTACATCCCTCTTCATCCTTTTTTTTTTTTTTGCCATACAGTTCATTTATGATATTATATTGGTTTGAGGTATACAGCATAGTGATTCAATATTTTTATAGATTACACTCCATTTAAAGTTATTACAGAGTGATGGCTATATTTCCCTGTGCCGTACAATATATCCTTGTTTTTTATTTTATACATAGTAGTTTGTATCTCTTAATCCCATACCCCTGTCTTGTCCTCCCTGCCTCCCTCTCCCTACCATTCTTCTTTATCTTACCTAGGATTCCAGGGCACTGACCTAGTCCTGCCCATTAGAGACAAGACCCCCATGAGATCTCCGACTCAGGCAGAGCCCTCACTCCCAGTGCTCAGTCTTCAGCACCCCCTTTTCTTCCTAAACTTAGACATGCCTTGTCACGAAAGCCTCCCATGGTTCCATGGCCCACCAAGCCCCAACACACAACCAACAGCGTCTTCTCTTCCTCACGTTCTACCCCCACTGCCTATGCTTTTCACCCTCTATCGACTCCCAGGCCTTTTCATTCCTGCCCCCACCAATCACTCCACTCCCTTCTGCTTCCCTTTCCATTGCCAGCTCCCCCATTCCTTCTTCTCCTCTCCCACCCTCTGTCTCTTCACTTCTCTCCACTGACTTTTCCCTCTTTATCCCTTCTCAGCCTATTAGCTATGACGTCTTCAAGCTGTTCATGAGGGCGTACCTGGAGGTGGACCTTCCACAGCCACTGAGCACACACCTCTTCCTGGCCTTCAGCCAGAAGCCCAGACAGGATACCCCGTCCCAACCAAAGGAGGGGGCCAGCAACAGCGAAGCCAGTGGCCCAGGTACATGGACCAGCATTCCCCAAGGTGGAAGGGAGATTTTGCAGCTCTAACCCACTTGCCACAGGTTCAGCCTGCACTCCTAGATGGTGCTCTGTGCCTGGTAACTTCCCTATGGGGAAGAGGGGGAAACAGAGACCAGGGGACCAAGACTCCTACCCTTTCAGGAAGCCCTGTCTGATGGATCTCTCAGTAAGAGAAATAAAAAGGGCATAATTCCTGCCACTCAGGATCAGAGGAGAGGATGGGGAGAAGAGGAGGCACAAACTAATGTATGGCAGGGGCAGGTGGGCCTTCCACAAAAGCTGCCAATCCCTGGAGAGCACATTCAGCTCTTATGCCCAGGCTGGGACTAGCCTGGGAGAGTCACAGGAGGGGAAGGGTGTGGTTACTGTCTTTCTGGAGTTTGGGCTATAATGGGGGAGACACTACCAACCCCAATAAGTGAGCATGAACCCAGCTGACACCAGAGACATGGGCATAACCCAAGTGATCCAGACTTTGTGGGAAAGCCTCCTACCTGCCTCTCTAAAAACCTAGAGGGCATGGGCTGGTCACTACATCTTCTTTTTATTCCCCAGATTCCAACATACAGAATGCAGATAATGCTGCCAAAGCAGACGAGGCTTGTGCCCCTGACGTGGGTAAGTCTTCGGGGGAGGAGTGGGCAGTACCCCATCCTTGGGGAAGGGGGAGAATCTAACCAGCAGTTTTGTCTCCATGTAATTGTATGCCTTTGAGCAGATGTTGTCTGCCTCCACCTCTGGGGCCCCTGACACTCAAATGTGTTGGGATTCTGAGGCTGGATGAAGGTTCTTGCTTCATTTGTCCCAAAACAGGGCAGGTCAGGACTTCGGTCAGCTCATTAGATGTTTACCTCTGACGGTCTGCCTAGCCAAAGAGGGGAAAAGGAGAAAGTGTACGGTGAGGGGAGGGGTGGGCAGAGGAAAAGAGAGAGACAGAGAGTGTATGGGAAGAAATGGCCGTAGGGCTGAGGTGGAGATGACGCTACCAGTGAATGGCTGAAGGGGGTTACGGAAAGAGGGTAAGAGTGTGCTCTGGTTGATTTCCCACAATATTTACATGCACTTGTTTGAACAAGTTGAGAGGAGCAAGAGGAAGCCAGCTAATCTTGTTTTGAAGATCTATTTGCCAGGCACCTGCTTTATTGCATGTTTCACCTTAGCCTTTGCAATCATGCCACATCACACACTGAGGAGCTGAGGCTGTAAGAGATTACATACCACTGTGCGAGCTGAGGAGCTAGGGATTCAATCCAGAATTGTCCATCCTCCAAGCTGCTGCTCTTTCCTGCACCAAGATAGGAAGCAATGGTCTCTCTTGAGGTGCCTGGACTAAAGTTTGTCTCCACGTAAAGGCACCAATTTGGTTAGGTCCTAGTGGAATGATCAAGGCTGCATTCCCAGTGGAGCCCCCATCATGATGCCTGGCTGTCCATGCACCGTCTCTTGGGTCGTGACTGATGTGGAACCTTCCCTGGCACATTTATCAATGGGAGGCCATTCCTCTGTTGAGAGGCTATTGACAGGCACAGTCCCAAGTGCAGAAGCTCCTAGTAAAACTGGAAAGAGCAAAGATTATCCTCCTTGACCTCTGTTCTAAGATGTAGCACAAATTTCCTGGATGCTGTCAACCTAAGCTGGGTCAGGTAATAAGCATATTGGTTAAGAATCTGGACTTCAGAGACAGACTTCCTGGGTTTGACACCCAGCTCTGACAACACCTAGCTCTGAAACCTTCGGTATGTTTGAACAATGTCTCTGTGCCTCAGTTTCCCCATCTGTAACATGAGATGACAGTAAGTGTTGATATGAAGGTTAAGTGAGTTATGTGTGTAAAATGCTTAGTATAGTGCCTGGAACAGAGTAAATGTTCAGTAAATATTAGCAATTATTATTCAGGCCACCCTCCAGAAGTACCCTCTATTCTCAACTCATCATGTCTGCCAAGATCTCCTTCAGTCTGCACCCTCAGTCTCCAATTGTGTCAGATGGGCATCCTCTTCTCATGGAAGGACTCTCAGGGACTGTCTCCCTCCCAGGTTGCTCTTGGAGCTTCACATACAAAGACTCAGAGAGACAGACCTTATTTCCTTTGCATTATTGTTTGGAAAAGATTGATGCACATTGGTGAATTCCAGCTCTTGGGATGTGCCCAGGGGATAAAGATGCAGTTTTCTTGTATCTTTCAATATATATTATATACATACATACACACATGGCAGAATAGGTAAGAGATAATACAACTGAATGAGAACTAATTGTAACAGAGACTTAGGATGAGAGAATTTCTTCGAGTGGGTGCTAGATGTAGTTCTCATCTTTTTTCCAGTCATTGCCGAAAGGGCAACTAGAGGATTATAGAGTTTTCAGTGTGTAACTGAAAGACTGATGAGATCAAAAATTCACTCTGAATGGAAAGCAGAACATGGTTGGGAAAGGAGAATTGCCTCAGGTCCATAAACTCAGCAAAATCCAGACTTCTCATAGAGCTCCAGAAAGCAAGGATTAAGAGTATTGGTGCCTTCCTGAGTTCTTCAGGGACAGCAGCAGGGCAAGACTGTGCAAAGTATAGGCTCACCCACCCCTCTGCCCAGCATCTCACCCACGCATGCTAGGTCTAGGGCCCTTTGGTCAAATGGATTAAAGTCATAAATAAGTCTTAAATCTTATTGGGAATAGAGAGGGCATTTTATGACATAAATCATTCTCATGGTAGAAAGAAAAGTTTCAAACTGGAAGCTTTGAGATTATTCTAAACTCTCAGCAAAAAAATCAAAGAAAAGCATCTTTTTCTTTACCCAGATTCTTTACCAGAGATGTTCTTAGTCCAAGTATCTGGAACTTCAAGAGGAACCTGAGAGAAGTTACACTTCATTCCCTGAGGTTCCAAATTGTCTGGGCAGAGTTTGTTTCAGTGGCTGAAGTTTCCAAGGTACCAAACAAGGACTTAGTGGGGATCCTGTCATTATGTGATATTTGAGAAAAGATAATGAATGATGATAATAGACCTTGGCTGGCTTATTTGACCACCATGTTTATTTGCAATATCTGTATCATTTGGGGTCTCAGAACAACTTCCAGAGACTTGCTCCTGGAGAAGTGATTTGTCATGCACTGTTTTCCCATGCATGCAGCATATCAGTCTCCTGTGGTCCAGTCATGAAAGGGCAGTTATCTAACTGCTGGCCCAGGGAGATGTACAGCATTTTTTCACCCTCTTTTGTAACTTGTGATGTTAAGTAGCAAATCCTTTTCCTGTTGGGCCACCTTCCATGAATGTCTTAATTAGATGCCCCTATTCACCAAAAACAAGAATGTAGGGACAGGTGGACGCCACAGAGCAGGGCCTCTGCCAACAAGGAAGAGCCAAGTTCTGGAATCACCTTAGATCAGACCATCTGTTGAAAATTCCACCCTTTTCCTGTTGCCCAAGAAGAAGAAACTCTATTCTCATTTGATATGGCTGTTTGTGCCTATCAGATCAAGCTCCAAGCTCAGATCTAGAACAACCCGCTTTAAGTTATTCATTCCCAGAGCCAGGTGGGGGCATGGTTGGGTCCATAAGCACAGCAGACAGGGGTTTCACTGAGTCCAGAGGTCGGCTCAGAGCCTTGAGCAACATGTCATTGTCAGGATGTCAGCTCAGGAAGGGCTGAAATCACCCTTCCCTGAATGCCCATGAAAAGGTGGGATAAACAATGTGAACTTCATTCTCCTGGTTTTTATTTAGTTCCTCAGGCTATTGAGATGGTTCAGCAGCTTGGACTGTTGGAGTCTCAAGGAAAGTCCCTCCATTTTTTTAAATATATTTTTCCAGTTTTAAAAGTAACACATTGTATCAATAAAAAATTTTCTGAAGAGTACAAAAAAACTAAAGAAACAACAAAATCACCTAAATCTACCAATGTGATCACACACACACACACACACACACACACCCCTATACATATGTATCCTTGTAGGGTTTTTTCCATAAATTTTTTACAGAACTGGAATCAGACTGTATATATATAATTTTGGATCCAGCTTTGTTTTTCACTTAGCATTATATTCACAAACATTATTCATGTCATTCAAAACTTTTGGTAAACATCAATTTTAATGCAAGTCTGTCTTTTAACAGATGAAAAAACTGAGGTTGGGTGTGGGGAATAAGCCTTCTTGTGCAAGATCACACACCATTTAGCACAAACCCAGTTTTCTGCCTCTAGCTTGGCGCTCTTTCCACACAGCCCAACTGAAAGGTAAGAAGTAATACAGAGACTAAGAGAGAAGGTGGAACAAGTCATCTCTGCCCAAGAACCCTCATTTAGAAGGGTATGTGATGTGGCACCTGGGCAAAACCTCTGTGCTCTGGAAGAGGGTAGTCCCAGAGGGATGTGCTTGGATGGGTGTGGGTTAGGGTTATTTCCTGTAAGGCAACATGAGCAGGTAGGACACCAGTGGGACTGTGTGTCACTCAGTCCCTCTAGGCCCCAGCATTTCCACTGCTGGCCTGAACAGTAGACCTCAATGAGGACTAGAACAATGGCTCAAGATCCAGTCAAAGCTCTGGTAACCAAAGGATCTTTAGAAAAGGCTGTAATAATGTTTTTTTAATTGAAGTATAGTGGATTTATAATATTGTATTAGGGACTTCCCTGGTGGTGCAGTGGTTAAGACTCCGCGCTCCCAATTAAGGGGGCCCAGGTTCGATCCCTGGTCAGGGATCTAGATCCCACATGCATGCCGCCACTAAGAGTTTGCATGCCACAACTAAGACCCGTGCAACCAAATAAATAAATAAATAAATAAATAAATAAATATAAAATATTGTGTCAGTTTCAGGTATACAGCAAAGTCATTCTGGTATATATTTTTTCAGATTATTTTCCATCATAGGTTATTACAAGATACTGGATATAGTTTCCTGTGCTATACAGTAAATCATTGTTGCTTATCTATTTTATATATGGTAGTATGTATGTGTTAATCCCATACTCCTAATTTACTCCTCCCCCCACTCCCTTTCCCCTTTAGTAACCATCAGTTTGTTTTCTATGTCTGTGAGTCTGGTTCTGTTTTATAAATAAATTCATTTGTATTATATTTTAGATTCCACAAATGAGTGATATCATGTAATATTTGTCTTTCTCTGTTGACTTACTTCACTTAGTATGATACTCTCTAGGTCCACCCACGTTGCTGCAAATAGTATTATTTCATTCTTTTTAATGGCTGAATAATAGTCCCTTGTATATATATACACCACATCTTCTTTATCCATTCATCTGTTGATGGACACATAGGTTGCTTCCACGTCTTGGCTATTGTAAATAGTGTTGCTATGAACATTAAGGTGCATGTATCTTTTCAAATTAGAGTTTTCTTCTCTGCCCAGAAGTGAGATTGCTGTATCATATGGTAGCTCTAGTTTTAGTTTTTTAAGGAACCTCCATACTGTTTTCCATAGTGGCTGCACCAATTTACATTCCCACCAGCAGTGTAGGAGGGTTCCCTTTTCTCCCCACACTCTCTAGCATTTATTATTTGTAGACTTTTTAATGATGACTATTCTGACTGGTGTGAGGTGATACCCCATTGTGATTTTGATTTGCATTTCTCTAATAATTAGTGATGTT